TTTTTTGAGCTGGAGTCTTGCTCTGTCGCCAGGCTGGAGTGCAGTGGCATGATCTCGGCTCACTGCAACCTCTGCCTTCCGGAATCAAGCGATTCTCCTGCATCAGCCTCCCGAGTAGCTGGGACTACAGATGCACACCACCATGCTGGCTAAACTTTTGTATTTTTACTAAAGACTGGGTTTCACCATATTGGCCAGGCTGGTCTCAAACTCCACCCACCTCGGCATCCCAAAGTGCTTGGATTACAGGTGTGAACAACTGCACCATGCCTAGAAATGCCATTCTTAATGAGCTAGCTGCTTAGTCTTTCCAGAAGAAAATGTGCCCAGAAGGTTTCCAGTATTCCACATTTTCCTTTAAATTATTTACATACATTTTTCCATACTAGATCTGTAGGGTGGCTTTCATACCATTCCCAGAAGGCCACTCAATGTCTTTTGAAAATAACAACAAAAAAGTTAATTGGTAAAGAAAATATAAAACATCTAAGAATCATATAGATAAAATGAGAGAAGAGTGGGTGGGTGGTGCTCTAAAAGTGTAAGGCCTTAATTATGATGATGATGATTAGCCAACTAATTGTAATATATGAATTAAACAGACTGCTGTCCCCTAGACTTTGAGGAGAATGAAGCTAAAACCCATCAAGGACACTTAGACTTTGCTCAAATTTTTCTAGAAAACTTAATACTAGTTAGGCAGCATGCTAGGTACAAGGAGGGTTGGGGAAGGGACGGAGTGAGAGCAAGACGGTAAAATCATAAAACATGGTCCCTGCCTTTAAGGAGCCGTCATTTTATGAGGGAGATAGACCTATGTTTATAACCACAATGACATCTGGTAGAGATTCGTACAAAATAATAAGCGTACTTCCTTAATGGTGCATTTGCTCTATGCCACCCAGGAATCTAAGCCTTTTTTCTTTTTAAATGATTTTCTTTTTAAAAAAATTGAGACAGGATCTTGCTATGTTGCCCAGGCTGGTCTCGAACTCCTAGACTGAAGAGATCCTCCCACCTCAGCCTCACCAAGTACTGTGATTACAGGGGTAAACCACTATGCCCAGCCAGGAACCTAAGCCTTTTACAGTATTAACTCTTTTAATCCTCAAAACAGCTATTATGAGGTGGGTACTACTACACAGAATTTACAGCAATAGGGCCAGGCACAGTGGCTCACGCCTGTAATCCCAGCACTTCGCGAAGCCAAGGTGGGCGGATCACCTGAGGTCAGGAGTTTGAGACCAGTCTGGCTAACATGGTGAAACCCCATCTCTACTAAAAATACACAATTAGCCAGGCATGGTGGCGCATACCTGTAATCCCAGCTACTTGGGAGGCTGAAGCAGAAGAATTGCTATAACCTGGGTGGCAGAGATTGTAGTGAACAAAGATTGTGCCAATGCACTCCAGCCTGGGTGACAGAGGAAGACTCCATCTCAAAAAAAGAAAAAAAAGAAATTTACAGCAATAAACTCTGCCCAGGGGCATTCAAGCAGCTTAAGGGCACTGAAGGATGAATAGGAGTTAGTGAATGTTGAAGGCAGGATAGTGCATTCTGGACAGCAGGAACAGCAGGTGCAATGGAGAGGGCAGGTGGGACAGATGTGAAAACTGAAGAAAGGTTCCATGTTGGAGGGACTGGAGTGAAGGACTGGACAGAGGCAGCAGAGCCTTGGAGGACAGTTAGGTTGGGCAGCAAGTTAGGTTGGGTCCAAATTGTGAAGAACACGGGGATTAAAGATTTTAGAGAGGGAAGACTGGGGCTTTGAGCAGATTTGGAATTTAGATCATGAGTTCTGGAAGTAGCTGGCCTGGGGAGAATGTGGAGGCAGAAAGATCCATGACAATGCTCTTGCAAGACTCCAGCAACATTGCAGGGGATCAGCAAGGCTATGAGAACGTCCTCCAGGCTTTACATAAGTAATATTAGAGGAAGAGATATTTCAAGATTATGAAACTATGCGTAAACTGCATCTTGCTAAGGTTTACAAAATATTCAGAGGGGCCTGTACAATTGTTTATGTAACATCCACAAGTGGGGAAAGAGTCTAGGCAAGCCATTCCAAGGATCTTGTTCAAGGCATAGGTATGGAGGGAAGACGGGGAACAGAAAGGCTTACGGCATAGGACCCACAGGACTTGACAAGGACTGAGTGTGATGGTGGGAGAAGATGGAGACTAGGGGTGAGGATGGGAGAGCTGGGAGTGATTGTGATCAAGGATGACACTTCCATTTCTAGCTTTGGTAAGAGGGGGACAGACTGTAGCACCATTTAAGGGGGAGGCGTCAAAGATGGAGAGTAAGACCTAGGGCTTTTGTCAATGGTCAGCCTCTTGGTCATGACTTGCTGTCTGTAAACATTTAGGTCCTGAGTGACCCTTAGTCATCAAAGAGGCAACATACCATGCTAGAGGCAGTATTAGCTTAGCAGTTAACGGCGAGGTCATCAGAGCCACGTTACCCGGGTTTGAATCTCAGATCTGCTACTTGTTAGCTATGCAACTTTGGGAAAGTAATTTGCCGTCTCTCTGCCTCAGTTGTCTCATTTGTAAATAGAGATGATAATAGCAACTACATGGTAAAGTGGTTGTGAGTATTAAAATAGTAAATGTAAACTTCTTAGATAGTGTCTTGACTGGAGCGAGTGCTCCACAAAGCTAGCCATTGTTTTTGCTTTTGTTTTTTTTTAATTTTTTAAAAAAGCTCTAAGGCACATTCACAGAAATAGGTCAGGGCTCAGGCTTCCTTGACTTGTTATTCAAAAGAATAATTGGGCTGGTCTCATACATGTACATGAGGCCACCTTAAGCTCTGCAGCGAGCAGTTGTCCAGGTACAGCATGAAGACTGGCAGTGTATCTTCAACACGGCAAGGGAGGGAGAAGTGAAGGAGGAGGGAGTGAGGGAAAGGAGGAAGGAAGGGAGGATGGCAGGGAAGAAAGGAGGAAGGAAAGAGAAACAGGCTTCTTTGCTATGCAGCCCCACCTTTGTCTGGACTAAGGCAGAAGCCTCTATCCTAGAACTTTTCACCAAGACCCACCTTTAGACCCGATATATCAAGTCTAAGAAACAAAATGCTCATGTTTTATTTATTTATTTATTTTTGAGACAGGGTTTTGCTCTTGTTGCCCAGGTTGGAGTGCAATGGTGTGATCCTGGCACACCGCAACCTCTGCCTCCTGGGTTCAAGTGATTCTCCTGCCTCAGCCTCCCAAGTAGCAGGGATTATAGGCATGTGCCACCATGCCTGGCTAATTTTGTATTTTTAGTAGAGATGGGAGTTTCTGCATGTTTGTCAGGCTGGTCTTCAACTCCCAACCTCAGGTGATCCACCTGACTTGCCCTCCCAAAGTGCTGGGATTATAGGCATAAGCCATCACGCCCGGCCTCATCATTTTTTTTTTAAATAATAATTTTAGAAATAGAGGGAGTTAGAGAAAACATAACACCCATGTACTTATCAGTCAGCTAAAGAAATAACACGTCACAAATACAGCTGCAGCCCCTTACACTCTCTCCCTTCTAGAGATAACCACTGGTCCAATTTGATTCTGTCATCCTCATGCTTTGTTTAGACTGACCTCTTGGATATTCCTAAACAATCGATACTGTTTTACACATGGCCTCTGTGTTCTTAAAAATTCCCCAGAGGTTGTGATGTACAGCCAGGGTTCAGAAGCCAGTTTCATGGGTTCCTGAGGCAGATGGGAGACACAGGTCTCATCTGGAAGGTTTGAGGGAGGACAGGGGAAGGAAGGAAACTTGTCGACATTTCTTGGTTTAAGCAGGCTCAGAAATGCTCTTGGGATTGTTTCCAGCCTTTTTCACTAGTTCTTTCATACTTTCAGGGGCCCACAAAAATGTTTTCATTTCTTTTAAAATCAGAAAAAAAGTACAGTCTGGATGATACTCATCTTTTTACCAGTGCAGTCATACAATATAAATTTCTAATTTTTTTTTTGAGGCAGAGTTTTGTGCTTGTTGCCCAGGCTGGAGTGCAATGGAGTGATCTCAGCTCACTGCAACCCCTGCCTCCCAGGTTTAAGCAATTCTCCTGCCTCAGCCTCCCAAGTAGCTGGGATTACAGGTGTACACCACCACGCCCAGCTAATTTTGTATTTTTATTAGAGATGGGCTTTCATCATGTTGGTCAGGCTGTTCTCGAACTCCTGACCTAAGGTGATCTGCCTACCTTGACCTCCCAAAGTGCTGGGATTATAGGCATCAGCTGCTGTGCCCGGCCTTAATATTTTTTAATAAAGGAAGGGCCTAGAATGCCAAAAGTACTAAGAGCCCACAAAGAGGTGAATATAGCCATGGGGAAGGAAAGGCAGGGGAACTGCATGTTCCCCACTTGTGCCTTCATGCAGCCACAGAACCAACTCCAGGGGCCTCCTGTGTCCTTCTCTTATTTGAGACATTAAAGACCTGTTTGTTTAAGCCTCCCTAATTTGGCTGTCTGTTACTTGCAGCTAAATGCATGCCCCCTGAGACAGCCTTCTTATCTGTATGAGCGTCCTTTTCTATCTTCCAAGATTCCTGGCTTTTCAGTTAGGCAGAAGCTCCCAGGAACCAGAAACAGCATCCCAAGGCTTGCTTTTGTTCTGGGCTCACCTCGAGCAGAGAATTCTGGAGCTTCACATTGAGGGCGGCTTTCTCTTCTTCCAGCTGCTTTATCTCCTTTTCTGATTTCTTCCTCACTTCCTCCAACTGTGCTTCTACTTCCTAAATGACGATTGGAAGAGTTAACCATACAAGGCACAAAAACAGAACACAACATTTTCACACCCTGCCTCATTCCCAGAGGAGATTAAAGAAGCTTACGAGAGTCACACAATACTGCAAATAAACATAAATTAGAAATACACGAGAAGGTCAAAAGAAAACGTGTTAATTTCACACCACACAGACTGATATATATAGGGGTGGGGTGGGGCATACCATTATCTTGAAGTTTTCTAGTGTGAAATAAAAATAAATGCTCATTACTGACAAAATTCTGCGCCACATAAGTCAAAAAGCCAACTACGTTTTCAGATGCAGGGAAACAGGAAAAGCAGCACAAAATTTCTTCTTCTTAACAGCATCCATACATGAGTCAAAATGTTTGGATTGGCTGGGTACAGTGGCTCATACCTGTAATTCCAACACTTTGGGAGGCCGAGGCGGGTGGACCACTTGAGCCCAGGAGTTTGAGACCAGCCAGGGCAACATAGTAAGACAGTGTCTCTATTTAAAAAATAAATAAATAAAATAAAATAAGTGATGGGGTTCCCAGGGCTGATTGCTCCATGGTCCCTCGCCACAGCCCATGAACCTCAGTGCAAAGCAGATCCAGGTGAAGGAACATTCTGGGGACCACATGAATGGTGCAGTCATGTTCCAGCTGTGTCATCTGGAGCACATTTCCTAGCCTCTCATGACTCACTGTGGTACTCGCATGCTCCGTGCCACTCAAGGTACACAGTAAAGGATCGGCAGATGATCAGCACTACTGTTATTCTCATAGAGACCTGGGCTTTCCATTTTAGCCTAACTTCTATGGAAACTGCGCAAGTATCTAGAGGAGTGAATGAGATAGTCTGTTCCTCTTAGCTGAACTTTAGGAAGATATTGTGTCACTCATCCATTCAACAAATATTTCTTAAGATCTACTATGTGCTAGGCACTGATCTCAGAGCTGGGGAGATAAAAGGGAGAATTTTTATTTCAGGAGCTTACACCAGGAGCTGACATTTGAGTGAAAGAGACGGGCAGCAATCAAAGTCCAAGAGTAAACAAGACAACAAACACTAAGTTGGATGGAGAAACAATAAAGCCAGGAGGGGACTTCCCAGTGTTGGGGAGGGGTGGAAATATTAAATAACTAAGTGCTCCGGAAAGCGACTTTGGAGTAAAACCCTGTAATAAGTGAGGGGGTTCACCAAGGAGATGTCTGGGTGTGAGGTTTCCCAGACCTGCAAAGGCCCTGGCATGTTCTGAGGACAGAGAGGAGCCACTGTGGCTGGACGAGATGAGGTTTGGGGAGCACCATCTGAGGCCTCAAACATCAAGGTAAGACTTACCAGTGAGGTGAAGACCACTTAATGGTCGGTCAGAGGAGTGACGTGGTTCCAATTATATTATGATAACCTTGCTACTGCTTTTTTTTTTTTGAGACAGGGTCTCACCCTGTCACTCAGACTGGAGTACAATAGCACAATCATGCCTCACTGTAGCCTTGACCACCCAGGCTCAAGCAATCCTCGTACCTCAGCCTCCCAAGTAGCTGGGGCTACAGGTGCATGCCACCATGCCCAGATAATTTTTAAAATTTTTTTTGTAGAGATGGAGTCTTACTATGTTGCCCAGGCTGGTCTCGAGCTCCTAAACTCCAGCAATTCTCCCACTTCCACCTCTCAAAGTGCTGGGATTACGTGCATGAGCCACCATGCCCAGCTTCACCACTGTTTTCCCTCTTGACTACAGGCTGACATGGTGGAGGGGTGGGGTGAGAGCAGTGGCAGACAGGCCTGGGAGGGAGCTGTGCTGATAACTGAAGTTGGCTGGGCCTGTGGCAGCAGGGCAGCCAAGAGGAGGGGTAGAAACTGGGATATATGTGGAATGTTGACTAACAGAACTCACTGAAAGGAGGGGTCAGGTAACTAAACATGTCAAATAATCCTGCTTACCTTTCTTTTGGATGCTCCAGGGGCCCTCTGTAGCACCCAAAAGTTAGGGGTTGGAAAAGACAACCTTGAAACTGAAGTTTCATTTGGGGAAGGCTGTGAAATATGTTAAAGGTTTAAAACACTTGATATTATGAAACAGAATTCCAGATTACCATAAGTCATTTATTTTAGCCAAAACGTTGACTCAAAAACTGGACTTTCTGACCTAAGCAAGGAGAGAATGGTGCCACCACGAACTGAGGTGGGGAAGACAGAAGGAGTGGATTCAGGGACTGTCTGAGGAGCTTGTCTGTACATGTTAAGTTTGGTAAGATAGAGGGTCTGGAATTCAGGGGAGGGTTCTGTGTTGGTGTATGCATTTGCGAGCCATCAGCATACAGAGTTTATTGAGGCATGCGTTTGAATGAGAAGAGCTAGAGAGAGAATATGAAGGAAAATATAAGACATTAAAGAACTAAGCCCTTGGACGCTCCAAAATTTCCTGTGAATCAGAGGTTACAATGTCCAGCAGGCATTTGTAGAGCAGCTCTCCTAGGCTGTCAGTTGACGGTGGACCTGTAGGTCTAATGGACATAATAATGGTAGCTGACATTTGCTGAGTATAAGCCATTAGCTGGCACTTTGCACAGCCCATCTCTCTGGTCTTTGTGAAAGCCCTATGACTTAGGTACTACCACTAAGGCTTATTGTAAAGATAAATAAATGAAACTTAAAGAGGTTAAATGCCTTGCCTAGGCTCAAGATTTGAACTCAGGAAAGCCTGACTGCTTGACTGTGCTTCTTCCCTCCCTTCTTAAGGAAAATGTAGCACCTAGTACAGAAAAATACTTGACTGTGTGAATACAGAGGTTGTCATGTTTCAAACAAGAGCATCACTAGGCTGAGCAGAGAAAATTTGTAGGAAAACCCATATTTAAGCTGGAGTGGAAGCATCAGTAAGAACTGGACAGGATCAGGTAGGTAAATTTGGGAGCAGGGAAAAATTGCTCTTCATCAAGGGAAAGAACATGGAATAAATGATGAACTAAAATGTTGGAACCATTGAGTGTGTAATCCCAACAGTTTGAGAGTGTTATGCCTGTAATCCCAATACTTTGGGAGACGGAGGCAGGAGAATTGTTTGAGGGCAGGAGTTTGAGGTTAGCCTTGACAACACAGCGAGACACTATCTCTACAAAAAAATTTTTTTAAGATTAGCTGGGCTTGGTGGCATGTGCCTGTAGTCTTTGCTACTCGGGGCTGAGGCAGGAGGATCACTTGAGCCCAAGAGTTCGAGGCTGCAGTGAGCCATGATCGCACCACTGTATTCCAGCCTAGGTGTCAAAGCAAGACCCTGTCTCTAAACAAATGAATGAATGAATAAAAATAAAAGGCTGGAGGGCAGAGTTGGATAGGGGAGGGGTTGTGGGATGAGGCAGGAGGGAGCAATCAGGAGTCTGCCTTTGTAGGGTCTTAAAAACCATATTAAAGAATTTGAACTATTTAATACATTATAAAGATGACAAGGAGTCATTGGAGAGTTTGAAACCAAGGTTGAATTTTTAGAAAGTCCTGCTGCAATGAAGATTAGATTACATGAAGTGGGGAGACTGGAGGCAGGGAAACAATCATACAGTTCATCATGAAATGGTAGTTGACTGGATCAGCATGGTACCCCTGAGAACAGAGGGAAGTGGAGGAATTCCACAGTCACTGAAGAAGCAGAATTAATAGATGTGATGGCTGATTGAATGTGAGGGGTGAGAAAGGCATCATATTTGACTCCTGGTTTTCTGAGTTGAACATCTAAAAAGATACTGCTGCTGATCACCTGCATGATACTTGTATACTTCCTGTGGGGCCAGGCCCAGCTTAAGCCAGTGACTCTGGGGAGCCCCTTAGCATTTTTCCTGGGGTCAGGTTATTTAAGAGAAGAAAAAACCCTGGACATTTAGCATGCGTATAGTCTCTGTTCAGTAAATCTATGATCCCCTTTTGTAGGGCTTATTGTTTTTGAGAGCTCATTTTCTAAACAAAATATGTAAATTCTCCTTTGGTTTCAAACAAGTTCAGATAACTTAAGCAACCATCAGCAGCAAGGCCATCCCTTCAACAAAAATTCATTTTCTTTACTTCATTAATTAGCTTCTCATCCATAGAAGCTTTTGTTGAACAGAAGTTTTGTTTAGCATGCTTTAATAGAGAAGACACTCACTAACACTGCCAAGATGTGTTCACTGTAACAACGCAGTGACAATCCCCTGTGATAATAATTTTTAGCATAAAGGAATGGCTATTTCTAATTTTACATAGCTTAACTTCCCAGGCTACAAGTAATTAATCATAGCTTCAGCTGTAACCTTGACAAATGAACCTAATGTGAAAAAAATTCCCCCACAGGTGGAAATAATCAATGTCAGCAGGAATTTTTGGCATTAGTTAGCTTCATTTTGGGTGCAAAGTAATGTGGTTTACTGTCAGAAAACAGTTATGGGTGAGAACACAGATTTGAAAGAAGCATGCTCAGCCCAGCTCAGCCCAGCTCAGCCCAAAGTGACCTTGAAGATTTCAACGGGCAGCTTAAATAGTCCCTTAACTCAGGTAAAGAGAAAAAAAAGATAGCAAAGACAAGAACATTGAGAAAAAAGGAGACTAATGCTCTCAGATATCTAAATCGTTTCATCCCAAAACTGGAAGAGTGTTTCATGGGCCATTAATTTATAGAATTCATAGAGCATTTTCATAAACTCTGTTCTCACTGAACTTTCAGATACCCAGGAAAATAGGTTTTATTGCACCCATTTACACAGAGAAATCCCACAGCTGATAAGAGGTGAATGCAGGACTCACACTCATTTACTGTTCCTTTGTCCAGATTGTCTACAATTACAGGTAATTAAGGAAAAGAGATGTAAAGGTACCACTGTAAGGGAACAACAACTGAGCAACTACAGAAAATTACCATGTAGAGATTTCAGTTGGAATTTTAAGAGAAAACTTGTTAACTTTTTTCAAAAAGAAAAGTTAATTGTTTGTATATATTTAGAGTAAAGTTCATGATGTTGCTGAAAGAGT